CACATCAACCTGTTTGTAAAAATTCCCCCAACAGCTGGCTCAAGCGCGAAACTTTAACATAAATAAAGCGGAATCAAACCTGATGACTGTGTACGCAGATTCACAGCAGCAGCTAGAATTTGATGAGCATCAACAAACGAATAGCGTCCCGAAGTGAAACTGATTCGGGCTGCGCTGGTTGGGGAAAATCGGATTGTTATCGGGTTCGGATCTTCAGACGGACTATCCAAAATATATCCAAACTGTGCCGATCCTCTAGGCGGAGAGACGGTGGACGGAGATATAAATAAGCGCGCGAGAGAGAGATTATTCAGCTGAGTGTAAAACGTTTGTGTTTTCGTAACTAATTTTGAGGGAGAAAGTTTTCTGTTTGGAGACAATAATCATAAATAGTTTCTTAAAATGATTAGTCGGTGAGTTTCGAGGTTGGGGATTTGGTTTGGTGGAGATAAAATAAAAATATTAACAAATCTCAATAATTACCAAAAGTAGACGGACTTTTTTATTTTCAATAGAATCTCAGTCCCCGCAGGCATTTTCTAGTGTGTTTGTATTTGGTTCAGAAAAATTTGAGTTTGGCTAACTTTGTTTATCAACTCATTGAAACGTCATTTAAATAACGCGATTAGGGTATGATTCGACTCGATAAAGTTTAAAAATAATTTTTTTTTATATCAGGCACATAATAAATAACGCAATTCAATATTTTACATGTTTAAAAAAGTAAATCATTTATCCCTCTATATATAATTTCAGAATGCACTAAGCCTACGTAGTAAACTCTCATTCTTCGGAATTTTATTTGGCAAAAAATTATGCTTTGGAGTTAGGCTTGGATATAAATTAATATTTGTATTATTTGTATTTTAATATAATTTTCTCTTATAACTATTGAATTGCAAATATATTTTAAAAGTTGATAACTTTTGTATTTCTTATTGGTTTTACATATATAATATATCATATTAATCATCTTTTGTTAAGTTTCGATTTGACATCCATATTGTATATATAAAATAAATAAATTATATTTATCTTTATAATAATAATAAAATTATTTACTAAAATTATTTAGAAAATAATATTATTTATCAATTAGGCATCTAATTCAGTATTAGGCATCTAATTCAGTAAAAAATTAATCTATTTTGCCTAATATTAAATAAACATATTCTACACTTATGCATAAACATATCACCATCTTATTTCTATTAATATAAGATATATATTTTTGTACTTATGTAATAGTAAATAATATCGATATTTTTATATGATAAAAGTAAAAAAATTCAAAACGGATTGACATTTTCATTTAATGTACGGGTGTTTAATTATTATGATTAAAAAAATATAATTTGACAATTGAATTAAAACTCAAAGTAATGTTTTAGATAAAATTAAATTATTTTAGTTTTTAAAAAAATAAAAAATATAATATTTTTTACAAAAGTTTTCTAATTCAACACCCGTGTAATACACGGGTATTGTACTCGTATGTCAATATTAACATGTTTTGAAAGTAAATCACTTATATGTCATTAGTTTGAAATGTACAGGAATTCTATGGAACAATCAGATGACTCTCTTATTAAGACATTTATAATTTGATGTACTGTCATATGTCCAATGTGTATTTATTGTAGTAGACGCATCAATACACCATTTGTGAATAACTGTGATGACTCCTTAAAGCCGAGCCATCCAATGGCTCCATAGCAATACCGATTATATGTGGACCAATCAGTTCATCTAACGTTGCAGAAGTTTTCTTACCAACGGTAATGATAGTAGTTCCTTTTATAAGCCAATCACAACATTTATAATTAATACTTTCATTACCATTTTCTACTACTACTATTAGAGCATCCAAATGCATCGGGTCTAATTTTACATATATATGTGGCATATAAATGGACTTAAATTTAAAATGACATAGACAAACTCAAGTAAAAAATATCCAAAAGTTATCCAGTGCAAAAATAAAATATTAGGTCTAGAATACATGTCAACCAATAGAAATGTTCTAATATGTTTTTTTTCTATCAAAAGAAAAATTGAATTAGGAATAAATGCTAATTGTTCAAATTGTAATTGGATCCAAAATATAAATCTCATTTTTTTATTGTCACATTAGTTAGACCATGTCCACTTTTAATTGCATTGAAAAACATTTTTTAATAGACTAAGTCTATTTCCTATATAGCATTTGATATTTTTTTAAGAGACTCGAAACATTGTGGGTGCTCTTATAGTCAAAATTCATTACCATTGTCATTTGTATGTATGTAAAAAAACACCCAATTAAATATATATTAACAGCCTTTCTCAGCCCTTAATCTTCCAAACTACTCAGACTGTGACTTCCATATAATGTTCTGAAAACAAAAAATAAAAGGAAAATAAAAAAATAAAATGAAAAATAAGAAAGGCTGTTAATATTAGTGTTATTATCCCGGTTGGGATCTAGATTCTCCTGTTGGGAGTTAGGTATTCTCCTGTTGAGAGTTAGACTTTATTATCACATATGGGATCTAGATTATTCTGTTGGGAGTTTTTTTAATTATCATGGGTGCGTTGTGGTATTTAGGCTCCTCTGGGATGTCCTCTCTAAATTCGGCTTTTGGCTGATCTCTATTTGTAATTATGTGTGTTAGTTATAAAATTCCTATCGTTTCGAATAAAAAAAAAAAAAAAAATGTGGCTGTACTCACATTTTTCAGATTTTTCAGCTTTCGATGGCCTCCACATAAACATGTGGCTGTACAATCAATCAATCTTTGTAATTAGCCCACATGCTTTGTGTGCCCCACCCACACACTACGTAAAATTTAAAAAAAAAAAACGAAATTATTTTACCGAGAAATATTATTTAGGAAGTATTTTAATTTGAATAGTATTTTTGGTGGGCGGTCAAATCATGATATTTTCTATTATATTTACATATCATTTCTTTAATTTAGTTATAATATAGTAAATTAAAATTTAATTAATTCTTTCAATGTCGTATTTTTTAGAAAGTACCACATATGTCTCGCGTTTCCCCGTATCATTTGTCGACCACTCAATAATATGTTGATAGTTTTGCAAAGAAAAGAAAAAAAAATCTTCTTTAATTTATTACGTAACTCCTTTTCAGTTGAATGAGTGGTGTCGGATAAGATATGCAGGTCAGTAGAGAAGCATGATTTTATGTTCATTTGTCTCTATTGTGCTTGTTGTTATCCAATATTACGTAACCTTCTTAATATTTGTTATTTTTTTGTAAATGGTATTTAAATATAGATAAAATCAATATATTCGTCCAAATTAAGAGTATCTCCAATGGTATTTGCATTGCTCCATTTTATTGCCACATGGTACAAAAAATCTTATGTGGCCTAAAAAAATTCTACAAGCCTTTCTAGATCTACAAGTGCTTCTAGACAACTTCTATTATACATTATAATATTTATTCAATTTTTTTCTTTTTATCAACCAATTATAAATTTATACATGTCAAATTAAATCATCTTTAACTTTAACCATTGAAGACACAATATTTTAATCTCCTTCCTTCATGCCATGCAATCCAAAATAGACAAGATACCATTTGAGATGTTCTAAACATCATTGGAAAGAAATGATGTGATATATTGCATTAACAAATAAAAAATATTAAGCATTTCAATTTTTTTTTTAAAAAAAAGGTATAAATCAACTAAAATTTTTATTAAAAAAATAAGACTAGCATACAGAATTTTAATGCCAACAAAAAATATATCGTTTATATACTTAAAAGATGTAGTTAAAATAAATATCAATCTTATGTATGCTTTATATTTTTCATTAACCAGCTCCAATTGATATATGGCATTAACTAATTTTATGACTTTATTGACTTTTGGATTGAATACGAGCTATATGGTTTCTCATTAGTAATTGCACTTATATTTTATATCATTATCAAAATATTTCATATAGAAGCTTATTTAAATAAACTATAAAGTAAATGTAGCTTACAAAAATATATTTAAGTAAAAGAAGCTTAAATGTTATTTACATAAATTATAAAATAATGATAGTGCTTACAAAAATCATTTTTAGTGTCATTAGTTCTCATTTTCTCAAAATGTACTAGACATATTTCTAATAGGCAATTAGGCATTATGATAATTTTCAAATGTAGATATGTAAAGTATTTTATATTACTACATTTCAAACTTTGGATTTCCACGAAACATAATAACTATTTTATATTATGTTGAAAATTATAACTAAATTATGATATATTTTATTTGACAAAAAAATTACTAAAAACACTATAATATTCGTAGATTATTGTAACATCAACATTTTGACCTATCAAATGAGTAATTACATAATATTTGAAATGATCTTATAACAATAATTATTTTTATATCATTTTTTATTGTTAACAAAAGAAAATTAAAATCACTAATTTGATAAGTCTATTTTGAAAATTAGAGGTGCATTTATTATTTTAAATTAGTATACATTAAATATATTTTATTATTTTATTTTATTTATAATACATTGGTCCAAACCAAATATCATTTAAAAGAAATAATGTGATATATTGCATTAAAAAGTAGAAAAATATTCATAATTTTAAAAATAAAAAATCGTATAAAGTAATTAAAAATCTAAGTAAAAAAATAAGAATAACACGCCGAATTATATATATATATATATATATATTATATTCATCAATATGTGTTTTCTTTTATATGATAGTAGTTAATTAAATATACAGTGAAGTTAATTCCCCAAATTAATATGTGAATTGGAAATCTATTAATATATAATACGGTGAAGAAAAATTATTTGAAAAAATATTTCATTTTGCCGCTTAAAACCTGTTTTTCCCCCTAATGTTGTGTTTGAAATTTTTTCGGATTCTGCTTTAATCTGTTTTTCACTTCCTATTTTTTTTGGATGTGATTTGCTAAAAACCGGATAAAGTCATGCAATACACCAAGCGAATTAAATCAAATTTCACCTCCTTTTTTGTTCAATATCTCCTATTTGTTTGGAACAGATTTGTTTAAAACAATTTTTTGAAAATTTTCAAAACAAAAATTAATTCAATAATTTACATTTTAAATACACCAACCCATGCAATTTGTTTAAAACATATTTTGAAAATTTTCAAAACAAAATTAATTCAATAAATTAAAGAACACAATCAGCATATTTTTTGGAAACAATCTCATGCCATAGATAAACTCCTCACGGGTGGCTGAGAGCTCCAATGGTTGGTGGCGAGTTGGGGGAGATTTTCCGGTCAAGCATGGATAGGGAGACGTTAATTTTTCTCATGCCATAGATAAACTCCATGCCCCGTGGTTGAGCACGGCTACGCGAGAGAAAACGACGGGACTCAACTCGATTTTTTCGGCTGAATTTTTGGGAAGGTTTTGCACACTCCTTGGCCAGAATTTTGAGGAAGGAGACGCGTGATTTTCGGGATGAAATCTCCTATATTTTTTCGAGGAAAACTACCAAATTTTGGTATGTGATGTGGCATTTTTGTTTTATTGCTTGAGTTTTTTCCACGTTGAGACAGTATAGGAAATACAGTTCAATATGGATTGGTATTACTATTATCAGTTTCCTTATGTGTCTTGAACTGTTATTTAATGGCCATAATAATTGAAATTATTTATTTATTTCTATTTTTATCGTCATTATTGATCTAATATGCTTAATATTTATTAATGGAATGTGTATATTAGTTTTTTCACGTGTATGATAATTAATTTGCTATTTGTAGCATAAATAATTAATTAGGGTCAAAATTCAAAAAATTATGACTCCATTATATTTTGTAAATTAACAATCGTAAATGGTTAATTGATTTTTTATTAAAAAAATGTCTTCATCATAAAATTCAATACTCTAATTAGAAGTCTTATATCATAAAATTCATCAATAATACTATCTAATTACTCATTTTTTAAGGCTCCATACATATTATTTTGGAAAATTCCTACTATACAATCGTATGTAAAAATTTATTCACTTTTTCGGAGAATCACACGGCAATTGGTTGTCGAAATTTATCAAACTACAACACTTTTTTATAGAATGGACGAAATTTTTCAAAGTTTTTCGAAAAATTTCACCGTTAATATAATCAAGTTAACATGCTAATATATTATTAAAATAAAATTTTTAGAAAAAAGTTTTAAGGTACTAATCCCTCCGTGCATCGCACGGAATGCTTACTAGCTTCTAGTAAGGCGGCAAAATGGGATTGGGAAAAGCTTGAGCGGCAAATCATTTTGAGCCATTAATTTTCGTAACAAAAATTGGCTCTCTAGTTTTGGACAATCCTGAAATAATTCGATTATTGATCCTGAAATAGTTTCCGACGACGGACACTAATCTTATACCTGAAATAAATATAGTGAACGCACAAACTGCTAACAAGAAGAGAAGAACTTAATTTTGCAGAAGTGGTAACAAATCAAAATGTTATTTCTCCAAAATCTAAAACAAGAACACAATCTCCACAATAAAGCCAGATACAATAATCTTCAAACCAAGCATATTATTTCTCAAACATAAACCAATTCAACCTTAAACAACTCAATAAAAAACAAAACCCAAATGAGCCCAAGGGCTATGTTCCATGCATCGTCCACAGAATAAGACTACCAACGATTGGGCATTCCACCTAGGAGCTACGCGTTAGTAAAGACTCTTAAATGGTGGAATGCAAGATTTTGGAAAAAAAAAATATAAAAAAAAGAAAAGAAAAGAAACCGGCAGGGTGTAACAGAAGACCATTATTAGTACATCCTCCGACGGCACTCGTGAGAACCACAATAGCAAACCTTGGTCTTAATATTCCCATTTGCATCACAATCCATCCCCAACTTGTAATTATAATCGTACGTGAGCTCTTGAAGAAGGAAAATGTCCTGTCGCAAAAAACATGACGCACGACATTCTCATGTCTGCGTGGTCATAAAGAACATCGTTCGCATACATATTAGGTGAGCAACTATGGTTAATAAACCTCCCAACATTTCCATACACACCCACGGCTATTATATATGTCAAATAGATACTCATCTCCAGCCACTCTCAAGTCAGCCTTTTTTTCCCTTAAAAACTCCCCCAAATACTCACACACAAACCCACTCTCAAGTAGGTTCACTATTGCCGCATGAAAACACAAGCCAAGTAGGTTTACTGCACCAAGACCGACGACCCCATCAGCCGCCCCACGCCACTTGTCAGAATTATATCCGGCAACGAGCACTCCTCGCTGTTGAAATAAACCCAAGTCGGGAACCCGTCTCCTCCCAACACATTAATCCCAAGGCCCACCATCAAGGTCCCGTTGGACGAGTAGGCACTCTAAGCCCAGGTCCCCGAGTTGAGCTCAACCGCCGTGAGACGCTCGTCTCACGTGCAACACACTCGCATTGTTCTATATCCTGATGACAACAATGTGAAAGAAAAACTACATTTAAATTTGATATCAAATGATTTCACCAGATTCAGACAAGCAAATGGAAATACTTTGCAATACATTTTATGAGCTTCAAAGAACGAAAATCTTAGAAGAAAAAACTACTCAAGTCTTACAACTTTATTTTCAAATTTCACACCTTCTAATACCTCTGCAAGTGGAACATGATCATTGTAGAACAAATGCAAGAACAACTGGAAGGTGAAATTAATATTCAACTGCAATTATGATGCTTGATTGCTTCTTTTGAGATCAACATAATGAGTTCTACCAATCAATCTGAAAGAGAGAATTTCAATAACATAATTTGCACTTTCAAGTTTCAACAAGTCAACAATGGGAAACTAAGCTCAAATATGCTGATATGTATCTATTAAACAATATAGAAGCATGTGAACCAATCAGTAAACATAGAAAATCAACCAGAAATGAGTAGCAGAACCACAAAATTAAGCTTTAGAAACAGCAGTTAAATTCTACACAGTCCATCCGTGTCCAAGACCAACAATAATCCACTCAAATTCAATGACTTCTAGACCTAGATTAGCTAAAATCCACCCGACAACCTAATACCCAAAAAAGACACACACACACACACATAAATTTAAAGTGAGCAAGATAGAATGATGAAAATTTAAATTCACATCAAAATTACCTGTTACAACTCATAATTATTGTAACACATAGTTACCTGTGAAGTAGGAAACTCTGAAAATCACTGATAAATCTTCTCAGATGTTATGGTCAGACAAGCCTTCTTAGTAGTCCTTCCAAATCAGTCAATCCATGCAATCTTTACCGACCCATGAAATTAATTATCTGCAGCACAAACTTCACGACTATGCATCCTCCTGACTCATCTTCCTGTTAGCCCTCTTTGTCTCGTGGCTAATTTGCCTATGAGACGTCACCCATTGCATCCTGTAACGCATATTGTGCTCGATCACGGGCTTCCCATTCCAATCCCCTTTTAGCCTTGGATTAAAATGGATAATCCTCGAAAGATCCTCGCCCTCCACCATCTTTAACCCCAACTCCATCATAAACTGTGAAACCATCACATACCGCCCCTTCTTCAGAAACGAAATCTTCGGGTCAGTCTCAGCATGGGCCGCCTTCAGTTTCCCCACGACCGTCATGTGGGACCCCATAATTTTACCATTCTTCAAAAACTCCTCCCCACCTGTTGGGAATATACTGGGTACGTTGTTGTTGTTGTCAAAAACTCCTCCCCACCGACTGATACGGAGTGCGTGCACGGCTCGAGTTTGGTACTCCCCTTTCTGCCAAACACCCGATTGCTGCTATTTTTTTCCAGCTAGCTCGAGCTCCCGCCAGAGCTTCTGCCGATTTCCAACGTGCCCTTGGCGGCCTTCGAAATCCCGATGCCGGGGATGAATTCGCTATCCCGGCTGTGAGATTCAATAGGGAGAGCGGTGATTTGAGGATTTCTCCCGACGTGAGGATTTCGCTATCCCGATGTAGGGTTTGATAGCCTAATAACATAGCCCTCAGCTTTGATTTTGATGACAGAACCCCATCCCAATTTCCTCACAAAACCGAACTGCCATAGTCTCTCAAGTACCTTTTGGCAAAGAAAGAATCAAAACCACTTGATGGGTGGTAGCAGATTAAACAGAAGCAAGCGACCAATGAAGAACACTTATTTCAATTTTTTTAACCATTTTCGATTATGTAAATAAGAAGTGAAAAGAGAAGATGAAGAAGAAACAAATCCCAATAAGATTGATCTGCAGAAAAGATAAAGATCGATTGATCGAATTCATCTCAAATTCGATTTTCTTCAAATCGTGATTGATATCAAATGAAGAACGAATTGGGATAATTTTTACAGCACAGAGAGAAAATATGAAAATGATTGATCAAATTCAATACAAATGTAATTTAGCGAAAATGACACGTAGGCTGAGGCAAACTCTCATGTTTCGAAATCTTATTTAGCAAAAAATAATGTTTTGGAGTTAGACTTAAATATAAATTAATATTTATATTAATTGTATTTTAATATCATTTTATATTATAACTATTAAATTAATAATATATTTTAAAAATTAATAACTTTTATATTTCTTATCGGTTTTACATATATAATATATCAAATTAATTATCTTTTGATGAGCTTCGATTTGACATCCATATTGTATATATAAAATAAATAAATTATATTTTTCTTTATAATAATAAAAAAATTATTTATTAAAATTAATCATAAATTGAAATTATTATCAATTAATATATTATGTTTAATGTAGTTATATGTTATAAGGTAGAAAATTTATTATAATATAGCACATATAAGTCGCACAAGTAACATGTGTCATACTAAAATATATAATAATATATACTCCCTCCTATTTTTATTATTTCTCACTTTGGCTTAATAGAACATTGATAAAATAAATGTCGTTTTAGATATTTTGTTTATATTTTTCCATCTAATTAAGTAAAAAATTAATCTTTGTTTAATATTAAATAAACATATTCTACACTTATGCATATACATATCACCATATTATTTCTATTTATTTAAGATATATATTTTTGAACTTATGTAATAGTAAATAATATCGATATTTTATATGATAGAAAAACAAAAGCCCTGCATTTGCAACTCAATTTTCATGAACACCACTCCCTGACGCAAAATGATATGCAAAAAAAATGCTCATATCTTCACGTAGATGTTGCATGCAGTCATCCTACGTACCAAAAACATGAGCTCCAAAAGCAAAATCCATGTGTATTTACGTTTATGCGTATATATACACATAAATTCCCTAAATAAAAACTCATTCCAACCATTGGTACCTGAAAAGATAGATATGAATACCTTCATCCCCAAGCTCACCGTCCTCCTAACCCTTCTCCTCCTCCTACACTCCGCCGCCACACCAGAAAACCCCTCCAACACCACCACCACCACCACCTACGGGTCGTGGCTAAGGGAAATAACAATCAAGAATCCCCGACGGACGGGCTGCCGCCGGAGGCCGTGGATGTGCCGCCAGGATGGCACCCCAAGTGTCCGGCGGTGCTGCTGCCAGAACCGCTGCGTGGATGTGAATTCCGACCCCAACAACTGCAGCCTTTGTGGGATCCGCTGCCCCTTCACGTGGCAGTGCTGCAGGGGATTATGCTCCAACACTAACCTCAGCCCATTCAACTGCGAGGGATGCCGCCGGAGGTGCTTTTTCTCGAGGTTTTGCTTTTACGGGATGTGTGGGTACGCCCAGCGACTGCCGCCATTTCCGTTCCCGCCGAGGCCAAGGCCACCACACTACTTAATGTTTTGGTGAAGGTGCGACTTTCGATGTGTTGGAAGGTGATTTTGGTTGTGTGTAGAGAAGTTTGGTCTTTGTGGGTTGGTTATACATGCGATTGGATTTGGTCGAGTGCGGAGTGTGTTATCTTGTATTACTTGAATAAAAGGGTGAAAATCTCTGTTAGCCCAAAACAAAATATATTGGCTTCTGTACACTATTTTTTAAATGTTAATTTTGATAGGGATCTATGAAATGAACTCCGTTGAAGTAATCGATTTTCTTTGGATCCCCGAATTTCGACTTATCTTCTCGTCCGAGTACACGAAAAAGCATCAGGAGGGTTCTCGGCATAGTTAGAAACTCGCTGGAGAGACATCCTTTAATTTTGCTGGCGAGATCATGGCCAAATTCCAAAACATTAGTTGGCTCGGGTTTTGTGAGAAAGGAAAGCTCGGCAGAGAACTCTTTCAGTATGTCAATAACTTTTTGAGCCTATTCCATCTACTCGAACTGGCTCATTACTTTAATGCCAAAAAACAAAAACCATTTTCCGCTGATTGAGCAATAAACCTACTGATCCCAGCCAAACAACTTACGAGCATCTTCGCCTTTTGTAGGTTCCTAGGCGATTTCATACTCATAACCGCTTGCACATTCGTTGGATTAACCTTAATTCCCCTCTAAATGACCATGTAGCCCACGAACTTCCTGACTTAACGTTAAACTTGCATTTAGTCGGGTTTAGCTTCATTCAATATTTTTGGAGGGACTGAAAGGTATCTCTTAAATTCAGCACACCTATTTCTGACCAGCATATTATTATCCACAAAAATCTCTATGTTTCTCCCATTCTCATCCTTGAACATACAATTGACCAGCCGTTGGTATGTAACCCCCTACATTTTTTAGCCCGAATGTCATAACCACAATAAATTATGTATCTCTTGTTGTGACAAAACTAACATGCTTCTGGTCCTCTGTGTGCCACAATGATTTGGTGGTAGCTTTATGAAGTGTCCATCATACTTAGCAGCTCGCACCCAACTTTACCGTCAACCGCTGGTCGATTCGTGGTAGGGAATAATGGTCCTGTAAACATGCCTTATTAAGGTCTTGTAAACATTTAGATTTGTGTAGCCGGACCTACCTTTTGACGCACCCGCCACACTGTGATGCTGACTTTCTAGCCGGGATTCTCCCCCCCCAAAACATGNTAGAAATTCTATTGAAATATATTTTCGTTAAAATTTCATCATTTACTATTATTAATCCATGATTGTGGCCCTCAAAATTAGTTTTTGCGGCCGATAATTCATAACTCAATCCGGAGGAGGAGGAGGGTGGTGTAGTAATTTTCATCCAAACAATAAAAAAAATGAAGAAATGTATATTGCATCCTAAAGCTTTTGTTTTCTGGCCAAAGTACCCTTCATTTTCAAGCAAATTTTCAAGCCAATTTTATGAATGTTGTGCCCGTCGGCCTCCGCCGGCAACCACAAAGATATATAGAATTCAAAAAACTAGCATTATATGGAAGTCACCATGATCAAGACAAAAATATTTTCAAAAATTCAAGGACAGGTTTTGTTGTTCATATGTCAAGGGCTCCACAATCGGATAGAAATTCAGACTATTGCTATTTTCTCTCCCCAAAATAATACTGCAAATTTCTTGCAAGCCAACAAGGAAAAAGAATACATAGACAACAAGTTTTCTTGACAAAGCAATAATTTACAATTACAGGAATATTTTTGGAACTCCAACCCCAAAAATCAATGGAATGGCAGAAGAGATACAGAAAATAGGAAACAAAATTTAGAATGAACTGACCGCGCCATGGGGGTTGAACTGATGTAGGACAATTTGAGATCTGCAAATGGAAAAGGACACAATATATGAAATTATGTGTGTTAAAGTTGATAGTGAATTGATGATTTGAAAAATGGAACTAGATCAGGCAAAGTTTTATAAATCAAAGCCGAGCATTTCAATTTGATGGTAAACTGAAAGAAAAGGATAAAATATAGCAAGAACAACAAGAATGTGTAAACTTCATCAAAGATCTTGAATAAATAATTTGGTGTATATGAAATACTTACTTGATGCGGAAGACGACATGATTTGTGATCTTGATCTTGATGATCACACGGGGTTGAATCGATTGGTAGATCTAAATTAGTTTCTCCCTCCTGGCCTTCTCTTAACGTAGCAGAGAGGACTAATTTATATAGAGGTAAATTTAGATTTGGTACGTCCATCAAATATCCAGATTCATGGCTTAGATTTGTTTGACCATTAATTAAAGATCTAGCCCGATAGGATAATTAGTTGTGAGCCCAATATTTTTGGGCCACATATTCTTACAGAATGTTGCCAGACAGCATTGTTACTGTTTCATTGATTTTCAGAACTCTTGATAATACAAAACCTGCATACAACCATGACTTATATAACCTCACATCATAGAACTATCTAGAAATAACATCTACACCTCATCTAGGGAATATGCTAAATCAAACTTATCCACAAACGGTTGTCCAATTCGTGATCGTATAGAAGGATCTGAGTAAGTGAAGTGCATCGATTTCTGCAACCTTTTTTTTTTTTTTTTTTAANCAACAAAGCAAAGAAAGAATACAGATAAAGTGTAGCGGGAAATATGAAAATAACAAGTCATGTTTTGGGGGGGGAGAATCCCGGCTAGAAAGTCAGCATCACAGTGTGGCGGGTGCGTCAAAAGGTAGGTCCGACTACACAAATCTAAATGTTTACAAGACCTTAATAAGGCATGTTTACAGGACCATTATTTCCTACCACGAATCGACCAGCGGTTGACGGTAAAGTTGGGTGCGAGCTGCTAAGTATGATGGACACTTCATAAAGCTACCACCAAATCATTGTGGCACACAGAGGACCAGAAGCATGTTAGTTTTGTCACAACAAGAGATACATAATTTAATGTGGTTATGACATTCGGGCTAAACAATGCAGGGGGTTACATACCAACGGCTGGTCAATTGTATGTTCAAGGATGAGAATGGGAGAAACATAGAGATTTTTGTGGATAATAATATGCTGGTCAGAAATAGGTGTGCTGAATTTAAGAGATACCTTTCAGACCCTCCAAAAATATTGAATGAAGCTAAACCCGACTAAATGCAAGTTTAGCGTTAAGTCAGGAAGTTCGTGGGCTACATGGTCATTTAGAGGGGAATTAAGGTTAATCCAACGAATGTGCAAGCGGTTATGAGTATGAAATCACCTAGGAACCTACAAAAGGCGAAGATGCTCGTAAGTTGTTTGGCTGGGATCAGTAGGTTTATTGCTCAATCAGCGGAAAATGGTTTTTGTTTTTTGGCGTTAAAGTAATGAGCCAGTTCGAGTGGATGAAATAGGCTCAAAAAGTTATTGACATACTGAAAGAGTTCTCTGCCGAGCTTTCCTTTCTCACAAAACCCGAGCCAACTAATGTTTTGGAATTTGGCCATGATCTCGCCAGCAAAATTAAAGGATGTCTCTCCAGCGAGTTTCTAACTATGCCGAGAACCCTCCTGATGCTTTTTCGTGTACTCGGACGAGAAGATAAGTCGAAATTCGGGGATCCAAAGAAAATCGATTACTTAAACTGAGTTCATTTCATAGATCCCTATCAAAATTAACATTTAAAAAATAGTGTACAGAAGACAATATATTTTGTTTTTGGGCTAACAGAGATTTCAGCCTTTTATTCAAGTAATACAAGATAACACACTCCGCACTCGACCAAATCCAATCGCTTGTATAACCAACCCACAAAGACCAAACTTCTCCACACACAACCAAAATCACCTCCCAACACATCGAAAGTCGCACCTTCACCAAAACATTAATTAGTGTGGTGGCCTTGGCCTCGGCGGGAACGGAAATGGCGGCAGTCGCTGGGCGTACCCACACATCCCGTAAAAGCAAAACCTCGGGAAAAAGCACCTCCGACGGCAGCCCCCGCAGTTGAATGGGCTGAGGTTAGTGTTGGAGCATAATCCCCTGCAACACTGCCACGTGAAGGGGCAGCGGATCCCACAAAGGCCGCAGTTGTTGGGGTCGGAAGTCACATCCACGCAGCGGTTCTGGCAGCAGCACCGCCGGATACTTGGGGTGTCGTCCTGGCGGCACATCCACGGCCTCTGGCGGCAGCCCGTCTGCCGGGGATTCTTGATTGTTATTCCCCTTAGCCACGGCCCGTAGGTAGTGGTGGTGGTGGTGGTGTTGGAGGGGTTTTCTGGTGTGGCAACGGAGTGTAGGAGGAGGAGAAGGATTAGGAGGACGGTGAGCTTGGGGATGAAGGTACTCATATCTATCTTTTCAGGTACCAATGGTTGGAATGGGTTTTTATTTAGGGAATTTATGTATATATATACGCATAAACGTAAATACACATGGTTTTTGCTTTTGGAGCTCATGTTTTTGGTACGTAGGATGACTGCATGCAACATCTACGTGAAGATATGAGCATTTTTTTTTTTGCATAACATTTTGCGTTAGGGAGTGGTGTTCATTAACTCAAATGCATGACTTTTGCTTTTATTTGAACCCACTTGTTTTTTTTGTGTTTTTTATATATAAATTTCCCTCTATATGTGGCTGTACTCACATTTTTCAAGCTTTCGGTGGCCTCCACATAAACATGTGGCTGTACAGTCAATCAATCTTTGTAATTAGNTATTTTACCGAGAAATAATTTTTAAACTGGAAGTTCATAGTTTTTTAAACATATACTTACTAGTATATTAATTTCTGTTGCATTAATTGATAGGCATGTGAACTCGTGCACCTGCAAGAGAGCTGAGACTATTCTTTTGAATTGCATGTTCATTAATTTTCACTTTGGAGTAATGATGGGTGTTCACGAATTTTCATTTTCCTCGTTGGTTAGTTTGACCATTGTTCGGCCCAAATCGGCCCATATGTGTGCCCATGTTCTATCCCCAAATCTTAACATGGACTTCAAAGTAAACACAAGCATAAATAAATACAGTCCATTTTTTGGTGCCATATCATATAGACATGGACTAGTTTTAAGTATATCTAAGATCTGACGGCCCTGATCTAGTTCTGCAAGATGCTACCATTTTTATGGTTGTTGGATCGGAATTGTTCTTCTATGATTTGGGTAATTTGGAGTACAATTCAGATAATTGTTTTCTTTAAGTTGGCTCGAGCGTTATTTTATTTAGATTTCGTGTTGCTTTTCGTGTCTTGTTCTAGTTAATTTTGTGTTGCTAGCGTTGTTGCCTTTGTGCTTGTTCAACCAGTCTCGAGCCTTATTTAGTTCCCTTTGAGTACAGAGACAGATGATTGATCAGAGTTCGTTGTGTGTGAATTTATTATTCTTTCGTCTCGTCTCGTGCGAATGTATTTAATTTTAGTTTGTTAGTTAGTGTGTTAATATTTTGAGTTTTGTAGGGTAAACCTCTTATGTATGGCTCTACACTTATTGAGTTTGGACTTATAGTTGTCATGCAAATTGTGTTGGCATCAGTTAACGTCAGACGTTATATTATGTTTAATTCTAAGGTATGATATTGTTATCATTCAAGGAACAAAAAATCAACTATCTACATCGATTTTGCTAATGAGCCCAACGTTTAACACGATCTATGAATGCCTTGCCAAAATCATACTTTCATACTAATTCTCATTTGGCCCTAGAACCATTATATTGCATTTTTCTACTCCCTCCATTTTGAAATATAAGGCGTATAAAGATTTCTCAATTTTTTTGAAATATAAGGCGCGCTCAAAAATCAAGACAATTTTTTGTATTTTTTTCCAAATATACCCTCATTTTGTTGAAATTAAGGAAGTGTGGAGTGGTTGTGATTAAAGTAAATAAGGTTAATTTAGTCAATTTATTCATTAATTAATGTCTCCTTAATATTTGTGCAATAACCTTAAATGCATTATATTTCAAAATGGAGGGAGTACATTTTACCCTCTAAACTTTTAAATTTGATTGCACTGACTTCGTTGACCACTTAATTTCCTCTAAAATATAAAAGTTGGCACGTGGTATTTAGCGACAAGTCTCATTAATCAGCTCACAAACGTTCAAGTACAAGAGATGCTGCAAGTAGTGATATAAATCAAAGGGGATATTTTCCTAATCCTAAGTTCAATAGGCAGAGTGCAATGTGCAAAAAAGTAACCATGATATTCAATTTGCCGAATGTAATCACCTCCAATNGATGGTTTTGCTACATAGTGATACAAACCAATAATATCACCATTCAAGATCTAAATTGATACCATACAATAATTCTCATAAATATCTTCCCCTTCCTAGACTCAAGGTGGCCTTACTCATTCACAGCCATTGTTCTTCTTCCCCTCACATGGCTACTGAAATGACCAAAACAACCTTGACATATACTTAGCATCACCACAAATGCCAAACAACTCAAACTGTTGTCTTAGATGAGATATCTACCAACAGCTCATTCATGAGACTAGAAAGAACCTCACCTTCCAACTCCAACGCCACCTCATCATTCTCCCGATCGAACGATCTCCACTCGTCCGATTTTTCCATGTCCTTAACGTAAGCCGCTCGGTTTCTCTCAACTTCCCACCCAAGAAACAACTCTCGCGGCTTTCTCTCGTTCACCCAATTTTCCGCCTCGTCTAATATTTCCTTTTCAAACGAGCTCCCGCCACACGGGTTTTGAGAATGCGTGTTTTTTTGTTTGTTTATGATTTTTTCTTTAAAGAAGTCTAGGAGCAATTTGTCTGCCTTCATTTTGATGCCGGGCGATAATAGTAAACTATTTTCCATTTCGTTGAGTAAGTTCAGTGCCTTTTGTTGTGCTCGGTTTTCGTCTTCTTCTTCATCAAGTTGTTCGTCTTCGATTTCCGGTACTGTTTTTTTGGTGGGAGATTCGAATTGTTTTGCGAGGCTCACTGGCTCGAGCTGTTCGAGGCACCCGAATCTCTTCATTTTCTTCACGAGCTTCTTCTGAGTTTCTATACAGATAAAAATTAAATTCCACTGGCTGTGTTAACGATATTGGGATTTGTATTTGCAAATCAAATCTATACTTATATTAAAGGGGGTACTATTTACCAAATTAAGTAGCCAGAAAAGTCAACAACATTTATTACATTACTATTTCCGTATTATATTATATAAAAAGATATTCTATTTACTACATTTACTATCCAGAAAAGTCAACTGCATTAAATGTCATTAATATTTTAGTATTATTATATTTTATTTATTTAATTAATTTATTTATTTGTTTTATTTTAAAAAGGTAAGTATAATAAAAAAAATTTAATAATATAAAAATCAAATACCAAATAAAAATGTACGCTTTGACTTATTTGATTATATTTGGTATTTGATTATACCAAATATATTCCTATTTAGTATATACATTAAATACTTACTAAAATATTTATTTGTTTTATTTGTCAAAGTTAAGTATAGATTTGTTTATATTATCAAATCATAAAAAAATATTAAATCCATATTGTGAAAAAAAAAAATTCATATAATTTTATAACAATTCTACTAAACTATTTAACAATATTCTTTTTTTATTATATAGTAAAATAATAATTAAATATTATATGGTGAACAACAATAAGTAAAACTGTTACTTTCTTTTTTATCAAGGGATAAATTTATATGCTAAAATTAAATTTTTATTAGTATAAATGTTTTAGTGAGATAATATATTAATTATTTTACAAGCTAGCCCTAACATGCTCATATTTAATGTTTTAAAAGATGTAGAAAAAAAACTTATAATAACTCTATTGTTTTTTAGATAAACGTTGATTAAAAACCGTAAAAATTCCTAATTTTTTAGACTTAAACGTTAATTAACACCATAGATTGAGAGTTTATATTTAGTAAAATTCCTAATTGTAATAAAAAAATTAATTTTTGCTATATTTTAGAATATCCTTAAATTCATTATAAAAAGAAAAATAAAAAAAAACTACAATTAAAAAAGCAAGTCAGCTATATATCGATTTGTTGTACTCCTCAAATCACATTCACAATTTGGCTACAAAGAAAGGAAACTCATTGATTAAAATATTATTTTGTCAGTAGTCTTAATGTACAAGAGACTTTAAGACTCCACTTGAATATTATAAAACTTTTATTGAACATTGTACAATTTCTTGCGTATTATAAACTTTTATTGAATATTATAATATAATATTCTCCAAATAAATAGTGCTTCGCACGTACTATATATATCCCGTACATTTTTCTGTATTCATGTATATAATTATAAGACTGGATAAATAGCCTTAAAATTGTGCACCCCGTGCATCGTATGGGCTCTGTACTAGTTGTGATAAATAATGGATAATTATTGCTATAAATAATGGATAATTATTGCTAACCCGAGCTAAAACCTGTAGCGATGGGACTGAAACTGCGGTTTTGCTTATATATATTTTGAATGTGCAGAAATGAAATATAAGATATTACAAGGGGTGAAAGTGGAAATTACCATCTGTACAATCGAGCCGGTGTCGATAAGGAGAGGAAACCTCGTCATCATCGTCAAATGGACAGTCGAGCACTGATACTGGACTGAACTGTTCCTTGTCTTCACTAACTGACCATTGCTTGTTCTGTAAATCATCATCACCAGCAAACATAAACGAGCTTTATTATCAAATGAACATTGCATGTTATCGAGTAGGAAAAGTGGTTTCATTAACATGCAGAACTCGTTACCAATTGTGATATGACGTACAGTAAGACAACTATCACACAATGTTAAACTAGGCAAAACTGAAATATCAATTTTTTAAAAAGACTATAAAAAAAAGTATGACATTTTCAATAGCATATGTAAGCATTTTTGTTAAAAGAAAAAAATGTAAATTGGTCGACACTTAATAAGCCGATTCACACAAGAATTTACATTCTTACATAAGTTAGATCGTCTTGCGTTAATGTTTGCATAGAAATTGTAGGGATGAAAAAACTATTATTACAATTTACAACCATAAAGACAAATGCATATAATGGTTAGCAGACATACATTGATTGTGATTGCAATCAGTCAGCAAGAGGGATAAGAGTATTGTTTGGGGGAAACAGAGCATTTGCTGGATTGGACCCCCAACAAGGTTTTTATTACTGAGATAGCACAATTAAGTCTCATAAATGGAGGCTTATCACAATCAAGGCTGCAGCATTCATGGAGTCCCATTACCACATGAGTCAACGTGCAATGCAATAAAGGTAGATTAGATGTTTTTGAGGCAGATAATGTTACTTTTTTTTTTTTTTTCAGTTTACAGGGACCTCTTAAAGAATACTTACAACAGTTATTATGACAAAATGTCTTTAAACACAAGTGTTGACCAGGTCGAAGGATTAGCACACATATGTTTTAAGAATTTAAGATACAAACTTAATAATTGGGATCTTAATTGGACTGTCTAGCCAAAGGTTAATCAAAATATAAAATATGAACTTGACAATTATTATAAAAAAAAAATGTCCTATCAATGTTTCTAACTTCTAATTTAGCTAAAACTAAAATTGATGATTTCTATAACATGGACTGAAATGGATGATTTCTATTATATGGGGAAGAAAAGAATCCATGCATTTGTATTTATGGAACGAAATTTGATAAATTCTGAAATTGTAGTGTATCCATGCAAAATTTTTAAAATTATAAAATATTTGATCAACTTAAATTATAAAAAAAATAAAAGATAATAGCTTTTGTATTTATTACATTATATTTTCATATAGGCAGGGGCGTAGCCCGCTAGTGGCTAGGATGGGCTTAAGCCCGGGGTTGTTTTTTTTCCTCTCTTAGTATATTATGCTTAAGAATTTTTTTTTAATTAATTTAGCATATTAAATTTATTTTAACTTGTATGTGTATGTACATTTTAATATAAGCTCATGAATATTTATATTTGGTGATGAGTAATTATTTGAAAAATTTCTCTAACAAACAATTAATGTAATATCATTTTTGTCTATTGGTAAACAAATTTTGGTCTTTTTATGTGAACTTATCAGAAATTCTATGGCAGAAATTCTATGTGAACTTATTGTTTGGTCAACTAACATAACTTGTCAGATATTTTACTTTACTTTGAGAAACATGTATATCATTGATGAAAACGTGATAATCTTTCATAAATGTGTGTCACTGACTCACTATAGAATCTCATAAAATATTTATTGTAATTATAATTTTCATAATTGCATCTAAAGAGAAATATAGTAAAAGTATGACACTTCATATTAAAATATATTGTTTAATTTAAAAAAGTATGATGAATGGGTCTATCTAACTGTCATCCCACATCTCAAATAATACATTTTGTATTCGGATTAGCCCATGGTGATTTTTTTTTTCTTGACTACTGCATATAGGATATATCAAACTAATCATATATTTGATTTGACACTTATATTGTATTAATAAATATATATAGAGGTGTACATAATAAATATATATAGAGGTGTACATAACACTCACATGGAGTGGGGTCCACTTGATTTTTTATTTTTGGTAGGTCCCACTCAACGTGAGTGTTATGTACACCCTTACGTACAATATTATGTACCTATAACATTTCTCATATAATTATATATTTAAATTTATGATAATATTTAAATAATCAAGAAATTTCAATTAAATAGTATTAAAATTATTAATCAATTAAATAAATTAATCTACAAAGTCCATAAATACAATGTGAATTAAAAAATTATTATTGTGAAGAAACTTTAAAACTGTACAAAATCGAAACGGAGTGACATCTCTTTACTGCCCCTACCAATTTACACGTGGGCAGGAAAACATAAGACGGGGACAGAGGATATTTTCGAAAAATGGGTGAGAGCCGAATGAGCTAATTTATCCTTTGCGATGAAAACAAAAGGTGCCCAGCCGAGTTTCCATGGCCGTGGATCCCGTTCACGTACAACATATAGCGGGATCCTCGCCGTTGGTATTAACCATTATTTGTATTTTATACTATATTTTACTTATATTATTAAAAAATAAAGGATATTATACAATAAACCCGCACGTGTAGTTCCACCTATTTTCCCTCCTTATTTACCGCTGTGAAATTTCACAAATATCGAAATTTCATTGTTATTTATTTAAATAAACCAATTTCAAATTCTCCTCCTTATTTCTTTACTATTGTTCAAATTTCCAAATTGTATTTATTTTATATAGTAATCACAATCCCAAAATATTCTTCCATAGAAAGGGATTCAAATTCAAATTATAGCATACAAGATCACAACATAAATTTTAATTTTACAATTAGTATGTATAGCCTAAATGAGAGGACATGGTTAGAGTTGTAAATGAACTGAATCAAACTCTAACTCTTAATATTCGAGCTTGGTTTGTTACGACTGCCCAACGAGTTGAATTATGTTAGAGTTCAGAAAATTACATAGAAATCATCAAACGAGCTTAATCTCGAGCCTAATAAGCTATGATAGTGCTAATCTATCATTATATAAAAAGAATAACCTTTTTACAAATTTAGAAACTTTTTCCCGCCAAAATCATTAAATATATCCTATATATAGTAATTGTTGGACAAATCTGAATAGGCAAAAAAATCCGCTCATTAATTGTGTAAAAATTTGTTTCTCTTTTTCCTGTTTCTTAGTTTATCGTTTTAACAATAAATATTTGTTTTTCTTTTTCCTATTTTTAGTATAAATCTATACGAGTTTATCTCTTCTGTTACAAAATCCGATTGCTTACGATTTTAGGTGTTTAGAAAATCTCATCTCTTATCTATACAGATTTGAAAAAATAAAATAAAATAGAAATCAATTCATAATTACTACTAGAAATCCATTATCTTTAAAAATAAAAAATAAATAAAATAGAAATCAATTCATAATTACTATTAGAAATCTATTATCTACTTTAAGAAGCTAATTTGCATCGGTCTAATTATTAATATTTTTACAAATATTCTAAGCTAACCATACAAAAAAGTATAATGATAATTTTGAAATGGTGTGTAATCAAATTTTTTTATATTCACTTATACAAAATCATTTTACATTGTTTGACCCCGAATCTTTAATTTATAATTATTAAGTATTGTTTATACTCTTCTTTTATTTATAATTTTTTTTTCTTCCTCTTTTTAAATACGATCAATAATAGTTTTCACTTCTGCCATTGACTCAAGCTCGAGGTCTATTTATAATATTGTTAATTTAATATTGTTCCCGTGCATCGCACGGGGTACACACTAGTTATTTAGGAAAAAAAATTAACATTTATCTTATATTAATGATGAGAAATTTACAAAAAATAAGAGTAAAGACAAAGGCAGTGTAATTAAGTGAAACACGCACAAGTTGAAGGATTAAGTAGGTATTCAAGCAAATTACCCTAGCAACTGAAATACTTAAAATCACTAACAGTTAAAAAATTAAAAATGAAAAATCTCACCTTCGTACTAGCGTCGGTGGCTGTACTGCTGGCATTACTACTGGTAGTTGAGCCAGTTGAAACGTCGCCGTTCTTTACCAGCACTACGGCGTCGTTTGGTAAATCCAAATCCACCTCGCAAGTAGTAGTAGTAGCAGTAACCACATTACCGCTCGCAAACTCGTTGCCGCCGTTGCCCGCCGCCGTCACCGCGCAGCTATCGAAAACATCCGACGGCTGAGAATCCTCCTTCATCAGCTGATCGAACGACTTCAACCTCCCGACCTCTTCGCGGCCCGAGCTCGATTTCCTCTTCCAGAAGCTTCCTCTCTCGAAAATCTTCCTCGAGAGGTTCCGCGGCAGGAGCGTCGACCTCCGGAAGTCCTTACTCTCCGGTGGACCCTCGGACGCGAAGGGGAGGCGCTTCACGGCGGAAAAGATGCGCCGGAGGGCGGCGATTGCGGCCGATTTCGCTGGGGATTTCCTAGGCGCCGCTTCGATTTTGTCGAAATTGGGGAGGAATTTCCTTCTCCGCTTGCTGCCGTGGTCGAGGTCGACGAGGAATCGGACGGTGCTGGTGCAGCATTGCCTCCTGGGGAACGATTTGAAGCCGTTGGATGAGCACGAGCTCATATCGTCCAGCAGGTAGTCTTTCAGCAGCAGGGGCTTGGGCAGCGCTTTGGGCTTCTTAATCAACATGGAATCCATTTGCAAAAACAGATACAACCGACGCTCGAACAGGTAGATTTCGAATATGTTTGGTTTATCGAGCTAATTTTGTGAGGAAAAGGGAAGAGACTAATGAAAAATTGTGCTGAGATTGAAGATGGGTACAAATGAGGAATGATTGCATTTAAGCAAAAAGTGGAGTTCGGAACTGAATTTCTATAATGATGAATGTCTATAATGCTTCACATCTATAGTACAAAAGTGGTGCCTGAGCAGAAAAGGCGAATTTTACCATTTGGTGGAGCCGGGTTTTATGAGCTGTGAAGAAGAGAGTGTTGGTGAAAAAACTAAGTGAAAGTGAGAGGCAGTTTCTTTATGTGGTGAAGATCTCTAGGCTGTGATATGAATTTTGACGTTTTGGAACAGATTTTGTGCCAAGGGTTTGTTTCCTCTGTGTGTGTGTGAGAGAGAGAGAAAGAGAGTGAGGGTTTTTGGAGGAGGAGAAGGTTGTTGGATGGTGGATGCTTCTTTGGTGTGGTNAAAAAAAAAAAAGGTAAGAAATAGTCAATCTGAAACGTAACTTTTAAATTTGTTTTATTTATTTAAAAAAAAAAATTATCAATGAGTTTACAACTCACTAACTTAATTGAAAGGATGTGAACTCCCACATCTATCTCACCAGTACTATTTTTTAACTATAAATATTATATATGATATAACATTCATAATAGTTCGGTGAATTAGTCTGAATGGTTAGTTCGGAGATGGCCCGTTCAAGCGAGCTTCAGCTTGGTATCGGTGTTTGACCTCGTCGGGGAGCTCGCTTAGGCATCTCAGAGTACGGGCGGACCTGATTAGAAGATTTAGGGGTTGAACACCTCCGTGAGCTCAGACAAATGAGGAGATATTACGACCCAGAGGTCGTATAGGTAAATGTCGAGCTTTCAACCTGGTAAGAGTCCACAGTTGGTGGGTCGCGAGGTTGCTAGGCCGATTTGATGACCTAAGAGTTGCATGGTAAGAGGGGACAAAATCGTACCAAAGATGAAAATATATCTCGCTAAGGAGTCTAAATCTTAAAGACGTGTGGAGTTAGAAAGGTAGATACAGTTTGATCTCTTTTCTAGTAAGGATTCTACTTGTTGTGAAAACACCCTGGATATATAAAGGGTTACCAAGTTTTACTATAACATAAAACGTTATTATGCCTTTGCATACAATTTTCCAATATTCTCACGAACAAATATTGACTAGAGCGTCAGAGGTTTTTTCGCCGAGACCCTTCCCCAGCATATTTGCAGGTTACCAGAGCTCAAAGGTGAAAGACTATTTGTGTTCGCGCCGATTTAACTGAGTTTGTAAGCAATTTCCGTATCAATATAACTAATTGTCACCAATAGAAAGACTGAAAGCACATACCTATAGAATTATACGATCNAATGAAAAAAAAAAAAAGACAACTAAAAAACATGCACAAGCTATAAAGGAGACAATCACTTCAATAATGGAGACTAAAGATCCGACAATTGTGATACCAAAAGAAGAATCGAAAGTAGCACACAGGTACAACACAAAATACGAATACTTAGATTAATGTTTTCTCTACTTCTATAAACTCCATCGATGCTGCCGTATAACCTAGCACAATAGCCGATCCTTGAATTCTAAAGACTTGATAAGATCCGCAGATTCAAAGCCCTCAAAAATTAAAGCTCTAGTTTAATACGCGAATGACTAGGAGACTTAACTAGAGCTCAAATATGACCACACAAGAAGAAGTCTCGTATAATGAAAGAGAATGACTGTTGAAATTGTCTTCTTGACCAGCCGGCAGCCCTGTTGGACCGTCGTCCCTAGCCCTAGCCCATTGCCAGATAGGTAAGTCGAGCACACACAGTAGATAGAAAATAGAGGAAAATTTTTGCTTTGTTTTGTTTTGTTTTATTATATATATATGAATTAAGAGAGAGACAATTTTTTTGTAAGATTGATATAGCTATATTATGATATACCAGTTCAAGTACTAGTTACTCGACCCAGATGACGAGTCGAACCGTCTGCACGACGACTAGAATGCTAAAATGTCGACATCCTTAAGTCGACATTCTATAAGTCGACTCCTTCTCTTTATATATTAACTGTAAAAGAGGAAGTTGGTTTCACTAAGTCGACAACCCTAAGTTGACTCCTCTAAGTCGACTCCCAAAGTCGACCTCTACCATGAAGACGAGAACTATTCGAAGAGAAGCGGTTAGAGCTTCATGATGTATCCCTGTACGGGAAACCTCAAGTGGACCTCTCGCTACTCAAGGTTGACTTCTTATGTCTCGACATTCGAGACCTTCGACGATTCAAGACACTTACAGCATCTTCTGATAAGTCCCCTTAGTGAGGGTGAATCTTTATTGGATAAAGAGGAATCTTGTTGACTCGGAGGTGAATGGAATACAAACCGACCAGGACATTTTGGGCACTTCAAATAGGTATTTTCCTTCTATATAAAGGGGTTGAGGTAACCCTAAACCCTAACTTCTACACTCTCTATTCCATCTTCCTCTTTCAGCTGTTGCTGCTCCCTCTGAGCAGAGCACTCTAATCTCTTTTCTCATACTGACTTGAGCGTCGGGGGCTCTTCGCCGGAAACACTTCTGGCGTTGGGTTCTTGCAGGTGTTTGCGGCGGTCTAGAGGCGATTTGAAAGCGGTTCGAACAGATCGGAGCTCATATCCACTGATTCACTCCAGATCTGGAAGTAGACCCATCAAAGATGTTGCAATTATAAGTCATGACTATCTCTCCTATACAACTAGTTTATTATGCTGAAAAGTTCAATGATAGTTCATAAGCTAATATCGAGTTGATAGTTGATGACATATAGTTGATAATTAAAGACTAATTGGTTTAATAAATTATTTGATAAGTTGGCTAAGAAATCTCAATAAGCTTTTTTTTAAATGCTATATTTGAGATAATCTCGAGTTTTTTTTTTTAAGTTTATCCTACCAATAATCAAACATATTTGAACTCAGTATGTTTATGTGTTAACTAAATAACTTATAAGCAGGGACGATTCTAGGGGGAGGCACCATAGGCCCATGCCTAGGGCCTTCAATTATTAGGGGCCTCAATTGTTTTTTTAATATTTTATGTATTTGTGTTTGATTTTGTTTATTTACACAAATAAAGGGGTTAATGGCTAAATATGAACTTGGCTCATTACACAAATGAAGGGGCTAATAGCAAAATATATACTTTGTGTAGGAATTTCATGAGGCCCTAAGTATTTCATTTGTTTTCTTATGGTGTTCGGTCAGAACAAGTTGTGTGAGAATAAATAGTCTTTGTTGTAATATGATTTTTATTTTTTCCTCCTTGTTGTCTCCATGACTACTTGAATGCAATTTATAATTTATTAAAGGTAATTGTCCAATGTCTAGAAAAACAATCAAAATCATTTTTTTTTAATTATTTATTTATTTAATAGTCTTGTTTAATTAGATTTTTTTTCTTATATGATTCTATCTACAAATAGCCCCACCACGCAAGTTCAATCGTGAAATTCAAAAAGGTAAAAGTTGTCTAGGGCCTCCAAATTTCTGGAGACAGTCATGCTTATAAGATAGTTCAGGATACTTAACCAATACATTCTTAATATTAAAATATTTTGGAAAATTCTTTAAATACGTGCTTTTGGTTTATCAAACATAGTGATTGATGTTTTACTAATCTTTTATGGGACAAATAGAGTTATAAATTATAATGAAGTCTGAATGCGGCAATATATTGAGACTCGGCCAATCCTGGTCGACATTTAGGTTGAGCTAGTAAATTGGGTCAACTCAATTGACCGGCCATTTTTCTTCTTTATTTTTTTGACATTTTTTTTTGTAAGAACAAATTTTCTGTGTATCTGATAGGCTATTTCACTGTGAAACGACCATAAGTTGATCTTTTTATTTGATTAAACTTAATTAACTAATGTTCAGTGTTGAATTTGGTATAATTGGTTGCTATCCAATGTCCTTTTCGCGGTTGAGCTAATGCGACCCACTAATTTAAATGGTCCAAACTCAGTAATTAGGTTAGCAAAAAAAATATATAGAGTATCATTTTTTTTTATATTTTTTAATTTAAATGCGACCCACTATATTTTTTTATATTTTTTTTTATTTGGGTTTTGTGTTGGCAACATCATGTCCGTCCATTTGCCTCTCATCGGCATTGAAGATGCCGATGAAAATCTGATAAAATTCTTCAAATGCATTTGGTTAGCGCCCTATGGTATTGAGCAGTTTGGTATAACTTGTTACGATGTACACGTGTTGTCATTACACAGCTCATCATTGAAGATGATCAATACATTCCATATACAAATTAAAAATATTATAGTTAGAAAAATAGAGATTGGAAAGTAGAAAACGGAAATTAGAACAAATCAAATACTTATGAAATTGTGAACTGACATGATACAGATGTAATGATTAGAGTTAGCTGACGACAAAATGTTAATCAGTAGTATATGATCATAATTCGAAATATGCAGTATACTATTTTTCATTAAATATATATTAATAGTTGACTTTTATATAAGTGTAAATAAAATATAACACTAAATGAATTATATTACAATTTGTCATTACAGACTTTTAATTTACAATGTCAACAATACCTTTGATATGGTCTTTTTTTTACATTATTTAATAGTTAAACAATCGTACTCCTTTTTTAATTATGCATAGTTTTGGAANAATATAATCGTTTAGTAGTTAGAAAACGAAAATGATAAATCTTGTCCAAGGAAACAAATGGTGTTGTGTACATTCAACCTTAATTTTCAGATACTTGAAAACAATCCACATGTTCTCTTATTTACTTACACGGTCTTAATGTATGCAATTTTGAGGCATGAAAAATGGTACCTATTTCTGTTGGGACCGACTACCGTCAGGTACCCCTCGTACCTACCTAACATCAGGTACCCTCTTATATCACCATTAGATTGACTCAAAAATCAATATCAACCATTAGATTCAAGGTACGATGTTGATACGAGGCAACCAAAATTCTTTTTGTCTCGTACCAACCTCGTACCACCTTGTACTTGTAAAAAACCTTTAATACCCTTATATCATTAAAAATTAAAATAAATTATAAAATAATAATTATATTTATTTTAAAGATCTTACATTTATCTAATTTGTATGACAATCCTTTAAATACAAAAACATATCATCTAAACCTTAATTTACGAATTAAAAATCAACATCAACGTTTTCGTCTTCGTCTTTCATCTTCAGCCATCCTCACTGCTGTCTATCCTTATGGATCTTAAGTGGTTCTCAAAATTGGGCTTTCCCGTACTCCTTTTCACCTTTTATCCTCTGCCCTCAAATTCGTCTTCATTACCTCTTCCCTTCTTTCTTCTTTTTCTTCCAACGATTTACCCCAATTCTCCACCTCCTTATTTCGATACACGGCGGCTGAAGGATGGCTGACCGAATCTCCGTACGGATGACTCTTGCAGCTCAGATCTATGGTGGCCCATCGATAGAGAGCAACAAGCAGCTCCGGGAATCAGGGCGGCGGCGCTACGGGCGTCGTCCAGATCTCGCAGTTGGCCGCAACTAACGGGTCGAGGCAGGCGCTGGCTGGTAGGCTCGCTGACCGTGTTAATTTGGTTCTATCTAATTTTCGTTAAATTGAACCAATCAAAACCACGAGCCATACACAGAAGCGACCAATGAACAGATGATTTCTCATTGTCGGCGACCAAATACAACCCGCTGATCTAGTTTTCCAATTAATGGGTGATAGCAGATTAAAATTCGGCTGTTGCCATAAATTAATTTGCAGTTAATATAGCACCTATTTCATTTGTTTGACCATTTTCGAGTATGTAAATAAGAAGCGAAAAGAGAAGATGAAGAAGAAGCAAATCCCAATAAGATCGACCCCCAGAAAAGATGAAGATCGACTGATCGAATTCATCTCAAAATCGGTTTTCTTCGAATCCTGATTGATATAAATTATCAAATAAAGAACAATTTAAAGGTGACTGGGATAATTTTGTCAGCAAAAGAAGAAAATATGAAGTTTGATTGATCGAATTCACTACAAATGCAATTTAGTGAGAAGTTGTGATTTAATTGAAATATTTAAAGGTGTTTAGGTAAAATAATAATATAAGAATAATTAAATACCTATTATATAAATATTAGTAGTTAAATAATATATTTTATAATTTGTTTTAAGTAAGGGTAGTTTAGTATTTACACAATGTTTAATTTTATTTTTTATTTAATTAATTAAAAAATAGGACACGTGGCATCAATTTAAAGGGTACCTGATGTTAAATAGGCACGAAGTTGGTACGAGGCGAATCTGACGGTAGAATATCCCATTTCTGTTTGGTGTAAAAACCTTATGCTGAAATATGTTGCCTCATTAATTGTGGCCACGAATGGCTGATGGCCCAACAATTTATTATATTGTTAAAAGTAACATCGAATTGTACCTTGCGTAATTGTACAACGCATAAAAAGCCCTTTCAAAGGTCCAGCTGTAAATGCAGAAGATACGATCAAGGCCCAAGTATTATAGTTAAAAACATAATTGCGAGTATTTTTTTTTTTTTAATTTTAATCAACAATTCAAATTCGGCTCCTTTAAGTCTTTAACTATACAAACTCGTTGAGGAAATTTGTGTATGTGAATTTCAAGAAAATGACTTGAAAATTCAAAAAGAAAACTATACGAATCAAAGTCAAGGCACGTAAGAACGCTCGCCTTAAGACGAAATAGTCTCGTATATTACACACAGTTCACGATTAACGCTTCCAGTATAAAACGACTTTTGATTTGTGTATAGTGGTAACTCAATACACAAACCTTCAGCTCACCATACTCAAGTTTTGAAACTCTCAAAATAGAAACGAACACAAAGAAAACAAGATGTTTTGTGAAGTTTGTAAATGGCTCTTAAAATCTGATGTTATGAATGATTTTATGTATATGGGTATTTAAAGATGTAAGAAAATACTTTTAGGAGATTTAATTGTCAAAAGACACTTTTGGTGACGCACTCGAACGAGATCAGACGCATTTAGAGGCCAAAAGATACCTCATGGTCACCAGGGGTCTTGAGCCTTCACTGACCGCGCTGCTCAAGACAACTCACGGTTGCGAGTAGGCTCTGCTGCCGCGGAGGTCTTCGCGGCCAGCTCCGCGCCAGTGCACTGCTTGGTGATAAGAGCTCATTTGGACTCCAAATCATGCTCGATTTTTTTTCTACTCGTTTGCAACAAACCCTATTGGAGTTAGCATGCCAATACATGAATATGACTCGTTTGGTTTGTCCATACATTCGTTAAAACTCAAACGTTTTGCGAAGCGGATAATCTTTGAGTTACTTAAACTCAATTGTTTCAACTTTATACTTTACCACAAAAATAACTTAAAATTAATTTTCCATTCACCATTAAGTATTATACTTGGTATGTAAAGACCCTCGACCGACTGGAATTGGTTTGCTCATGTGCTTCCTCGCCGGTTGAACGCATTCGACCTGCAAAAACTCTCACATCAGGGTGATTTTCCGGTTAAGAGTCTTCGATACTTAAATGAGCATGTGTAGAAGATGATTTGCAGAGAAAAATAGAGTAGGTAAAATCGCACATCTCACTCATATTTATATTTTATAGGGGTGAGGTACCTGTTTCTAGAAGACTGCCCAGATATGATGAGCTGGCTACTCTAGCTGCCCGATAATACAACATTTCTGTTCAGAGAGTCAGTGCGGTTATGGGACGTGGACCAATCAGGTGGTGTCACGTACCCGTGCCCATGTGCGGTATCGCTTATCATAAGATTCCTCTGATCCCTCATGGTTAGACCTCCTGGAAGCGTGACCAAGTCGAAATCTGCTATGGTAGAGTTCTGATTGTAGCTTATTCCGGTCGATTTGCTGACCAGCCATTTCTACAGGTCGAGTTTTAATCATGCCAACCGAGGACCCTAGCTCGACCTGTTGTTGTCATCCTGCATCCCTTATACTATCTTCCCGATCGAAGGCTCTTAATCCAGGATCAGTGACATTTGACCACCGTCGAACCTGCTATGATTCCGCTCGACCAGGTAGCTCGCTCGGTTAAGTCGACCAGTTTATTTCCTTAAGTATGGTATCCCTTATCCATACTTATAAAAAATGGAACTGTAAAATTAGTATATAACAAATTCTTCTCACACTCGTTAAATTCAAAAATCTAAATTTTCATGAGTCATAGAACAATTCATTTTGAGTAATGCTGACCACAAAATCAATCTATATACATTTCTCACAACTCAAATGCATATAAATGTTGTCACACTACTTCAAAATATTTCTCATAACTCAAATGCATATAAATGTTGTGGTTTAAATACCTACATGAATATTTTCTAGAAAGCTAGGATCGATTATATTTATGAGAGTGAAACTCGAATTCTTTATTGCATTGGATATTGTGACTCTTCCGTTTATTTTAATACATTTGAAAATTTAGTTCATGCTTTTCAAGGCTTTTTAGATTAGTTTTATACAATTTGGAAAACACAGAACTGTCGAGTTACATAAATTGCTATTAGGACACCTGCAACGCTTAATTAATTTGGGCGTTTAAAGCATGGCGTTCAACACGGATGTAGAACATCCATTATTTAGTTTTAATTTAGCTATACTTACATTGATTTGATTGGGCAATGGAACCTCTGTCATCCTTC